TTCAATAAGTTTTCGGTAGTCATCTCTCACAATAGACTCTTTTAGTTATTTAGAGTAAAACCCATTAAGTTTATCAATTTCAGAGTTTACGGCCTATTCACCAGACCCTTCCGCGTAACTATCCACTCCCTGTGAAAATATACATTTTTATCAAAGTATACACATAAATAAAACTATATTTTAACATTTGTCAATAATTTATAATATAAGGGTCACATAATAACAAACACAAAATGACTTACGATCGAAGACCTCGCGACCAACCGTGTTACAAAATACCGCGCGCATAACGTTGGCTAATGGAGGGTTCAGATGCAAGTCGGCACGGGTTCCCGTTTATAGAATGAGCTGAAATTTTTACTGGGAGTATATAAACATGTAATAAATATAATTAGAGGGTATGCGTAAAAAAAATAAAAATAAGGGACACCCTAATGTAGATGAAGAAATTTTTGAGACAAATCAAAATCAGGCCAGTTCATCCACTACTTTGTCGACTACCACGCAACCGAAAATAACCGATATTTTTTCCACTGAAAAAAACAATCAACTTAAAACAAGAGAAAATTACACAAATCATTACAAGAATGATATGTCAGGATGAACTGCCAATTTCCTTTGTCGAAAATTGTGGATTCAAACAACTTTTATCATACCTTACCCCTTGGTATAAAATCCCTGTAAAAAAACAATAAAATTACGAATCGATGCCCTGTATGACATAGAGAAAGAAAAAATTATGAAAGATATGAGTACAATCGATGATATAGCACTAACTACTGATTGTTGGAGCTCCCGAGCAACAGAATCATACATAACATTGACAGCTTATTATATAACACCGGAATGGAAACACTTTGCTTCTAATATCACAACAGAGCATATGGAAGAACGACATACAATAGCAAATTTACAGGACAAAATTGATAAAATTCTAATCGAATGGAAAATTAAACCAAAAAGTAGAGCAATTGTTCACGACAATGCTGCAAATATAGTTGGGGCAGCCAAAAATTTTCCATATTCGATTAGTTGTTTTGCTCATTCTCTGCAACTGGCTTTGAATAAAATATTACTTGAACCATACAGCAAATTTTAGTCCTTCGGAGGGGACTTTAAGCCGTCGGTCCGTTCCTACCCCTAACCCGCACAAGCCATTCAGTTGGCTTATGGGACATCTTAGTTTGGATGTAAGGGTGGAACTAAAAGTAAAAAAAAAAAAAAAAAAAATACATTATTAATAAGTGCAGCAATATTGTTGGCCATTTTAAACACTCCAATATTGCCATGAGTGCATTAAGTAATAAGCAAAACCAACTAGGTCTGGTAAAACACAAGTTGGTACAATTTGTAAAAACTCGCTGGAATTCAACGTTTCTAATGTTAAAGAGGTTAGTAGAACAATGTGAAGCCATTATTGGAGTTTTATCTGACAGGCAGAACAACTGATGTTAAGTGAAGATGAATGGACCCTTATAGAAAATATTGCCAATATTTTGCAACCTTTTGAACCACCAACAATTTCGATGGTGATGCCCATTTTGCAAAGTCTGGTAGAAAACTTTTTATCTAAAACTAAAGATGAAGATTCACACGATGTGATAAAAATGAAAGAACAATTGCTGCAAGAGCTGAGATCTAGATTTAAGGATGTATTATTTAGCGACAGTTTAGTTTCATGCTCCAGAGAAATTGGTGTGTTTGATATCAGCACATTTTTGGACCCACTGTTCAAAAACACAGAACGGTTTTTAGGTTCTATTATAAAAACAAAAATATATTTAAATATTCTGTTACAAAACGAAGAAGAAGGAAAAGTTAAAGAAGTAATTATAAATCCTGCCAAAAAGTCAGCTTTGGATATTTTGTTTCCTAGCGATGATATTAACACTTCTAATGAAGTCGACAGCTATTTTTCAGAATGTACTATTCCAAAAAAATTGTGTCCATTACAGTGGTGGAAAAGTAATAAGCAGAAGTACCCAAAGCTGTCCAAAATTGCAAAACGTTACCTTTGTATTTCTGCCACTTCAACAGCTTCAGAAAGAGCTTTCTCCAAAGCGGGCAGCAAAACGATCCTGCTTGAAACCAGACAATGTAAAAAAAAATTGTTTTTTGAGTAGCAATTTACAAAAAAAAATAAAATAAAAAATAATAACCCATTTGTTAAATTTATTTTTGTATTAAATATTTAATTAAATAATCCGAGCTAAACTTAAACATAAGATACGAATTTTTCTAAAGATTAAATAGTTTTGATTAATTGAAATATTTTAATATTCGAGTATTTAAAAATTCGATTATTTGAATATTTAAAAATGTACTCTATATTCGAATTATTCGAATGTACGAGGACATGAATCACAGATTATAAAGACATGAATATTCGAATAATTCGAATACTCGAATAATTCGAATACACGAATATTCGAATACTCGAATATTCGAATAATTCGAATAATTCGAGTATTTCAAATAATTTTTAAACTAGTATTCGAATTCCAAAAACTAACAAATTCCCAGCCTTAAAAAATACTTGGGAAAAACGTTTTATGCTGAACTAGCCAAAGCACAGATCTTCTGGCGGGGCCATTAAGTCCATCCTTAAAATAATTATTTGTCACTTATTTTTACACACTTTTAGTGCCTTGAAGGCACATGCATTAAAAATGGCAAGAAAACTAAGCATTTCTCACATGAAGACTGGCAATGTCGGGGAGCCAGCAGGGTTGTTCCTGGCTGATTTTTCAAAGTGTAGAACTCGATAATGAAATTGTGTAGCATTGTGCAGTTTTAAAATGGGGCGTCGGCGTTTGCGACATCTTTGGCCAGATTGGCGAATTCGAAAAATTCAATTCGTTTTGGTGGTTATTAGAATATAGATGGCGACTCGTGCAGTTTTACCAGACTTCTACAGTAGTTTTACACTATAGGGTCCATAGATGGAAGACTGATAGGGACTCTATTTTACACACGCTTCAGCAAGGCCTTATATTATTATATTACCGTGCGTTTTATATTTTTTACCATTATGTTGCAATAAAAAAAGAATGGATATGCACCTTAGATCATACAAGGGATAATCTAAAAAAAAGAAAATTTTCAAAATATTCAATTTTTAATAAAAAATAAACCTACAGAAAAAATATAAAATTATTAACAAGTCACATAAAACGTATTAAAAATAAAACAATATTTAATGAATAACAAACAAAAATAAAAAATCTGCTTGACAAAACCAAACAATTGCTTGGTTCATTCCACCTGTATCACATACATAACAATGTAAACAATATTTTTTTTCTTTTATTATAAATTAAAATATGGAACAAACAACAAAAATAGGAACTCTCTTAATTAATAAAAAAAAATATTCTACCTGTACATTTTCTAAAAAAGTTAAGTTATAGTTTAGCAATATTATATTTGGCTGAAAGTCTCCTGCTTTTTTCTGAGTGTATTTTAATTTATCCTTTACATGTAAAATTGCTGCAACAGTTGTAATAAGTAGCCTGTTTCTTAAAAAGTCTTTATTAAGGCTAACTGGGAAAATACACGTTCTGCAGTTGCAGATGAGTGTGGCAAAGCTAATATAACCTTTACAGCCTTCTTTAAATTTGAGAACATAGGACTATCTTTGTTGGATTTTATGTTGCTGACTTTTTTCCAAAAGTCATTAATATCTAAAAATTCATTTACTTCAGCAATTTCTGGCAATAGTTGCCATTCTGCATTTGCTGACTCTATATTTATATCAACATTTGGAAATAGATTGATGAAATTTGCAATTGACATAACATTTCCAGATTTTGCCGTAGATGGTACAAAATTAGATGCTAATTCTAAATATTTATCATTAAAATTAAAACGTTTTTTTACTTGGTTGCAAAATTCTATATAATATTCTAAAGCCCTTAATTTAAAATTATGTACATCCTCTTTTGAACATTTTTTATTATCCTGAATCAGAAAAGCATCCAATTTTGCACCAAAAAATATATTGTCAAGACTTTTATACACGGCTGGATCATTTACATTGATTTCATTAAAATGCTTATTATCTAAGATGTCTTTTTTCACAAATGACTTTAAAAATATTTTATAAAGTGCTGTCATTCTGTTCAATAAAATTGGCACCTTAGGAAACTCTGACTGCAATTCTTTATTCATTTTATTTATAAGCTCTAATGTATATGATAAGAATAACAAGTATACCTTATATACCTTGTATATCATTATCAAGAGCATTTAAAATTGTTTTAGCAGTCACTAAGTTGTCTTCAAGAGCAGCTCTTTGAAAAAATAATCTTAATGAGTTCCAGTGCTCCAATATTCTATCTACCACCGCGGTGCACCGCCTAAAACAAATATAATTTTTCAAATCATAATTTTATTTTATTTTTAATTATTTTATAACTGACTGCTACATTTAAATTAAAAATAAAATTATAAAATAATGATTAGAAGAAATATTAAATACTTTATTTTACAATATAATTATACCTAGTAATAATTACTATTACATTAATGTATAAGTATTATTACATTAATGTATAGGTAGCTACCTAGGTTTTATAATATTATTGTGTGTAAATATTATTGTGATTTACACCTTGTTTGACTGGGGTAAAGCAACTTATGTGGTTTTTTTTTTGGGCAAAAATTTGACATTCTGTTAGCTCTGAAAGTCTTTTGCTGCTGTGGCTGAAATATGAATAAATATCTCTAACAAACTGTTCAATGCTATTGGGTAATTTGGAAGCTGCTGCCGATGAACAGACATGAAGAGAATCACATGAGCACCCCTGCACATAAATATGAGGAGCAATTTCTTTTATTCTTGCTTGCACTCCTTTTAGAGCACCCATCATCACACTGGCATTATCGCTGGCAAATCCAACAATATTTTTGTAAGGTATACTGTTTTTGTCCAAGAAATTCTTTAAAATAGAAAATAAAGCATCAGATGTACAACTGTCTACTTCCACTAAATCAATGAATCAATCTACAATTTTCTGATGGTCATCACTCCAATATCGTACTACAACAACTAAAGACCTTTTAGTACTAATGTCAGTTATCTCATCAATTATGATTGAAAATCTGCTCTTCTTTAAATCATTAATAACCTCTTTTTTGAAAGTCTGCCCTAAAACTCCTGTAATAATTTTTGTGGCTTTGCTTCTTTTCATTGATACACCCTGTGCAATCTTCGAATCAGGGTAGATTTCTTTATTTAATAAAGGCAATGTATCCATTAGCAGCAGAGGTAGATTTTCTTCACAAATAAAACAACATAATTTAATTTCAGCTGTTTTGATTTGATGCTTCAATAATTTATTTTTGCTGCCATCACCAACTAATGATTTTAAATGTTGGGATGTTTTCACTGCCTTAGAAGCTTTCTGATGCGTCGAATTTCTCTCATGCCTCTTCAGGTGGAACCTACTTCCACTTAATTTAATTTGGCATAACTTGCAAAACAAAAACTCTTTTGTGCTGTCAATCCATTCAAAATCATTTGACATTTTTTGTGCAGAGATAGTATGGTACTTCCTCTTTTTTTAACTTGGCTTTCTTCTTCGGTTGTACCACCCTGGGTTGTGCCTTAGTCCTCTTCATCACCCTTTAACAAACTGATGCAAGACTTCTTAGCTGTGGGCTCTTCTACAGATTGTTGGGGGAAGTCCGTACAAAAGCAATTTTTTATGTCACTTTCGACAATTTGTTCTGATGATGGTTTATTGGAAGCCTGGACCTCTGATGATGTAGAAGCCCCCATATCCACTACATTTTTATTAGGTTTTGATTTATGTCTTGTCACAAACCTAAAACGTAAAATACTCTTAACAAACATTTTTATATATATATATATATATATATATATATATATATATATATAAATATATATAAATCATTACATAGTTTCTTTTTAAAAAGACTAACTAAATATAAACCATCTAATATACATACTGAGTCAAAAACTTAACTTACCTATCCATTATAATTTATAAATAAATAAAATTTAAAAAAACAAACGTTTTAAATTTTATGATAACTACGAACTGTAACAAAACTCATTTAAAACTGTTTAAAAATTAGGCAGTAGCGACACCTTTCGTCTTTTTAAGCAAATGTTTAAAACTGGTTCTATTAGCAAATTTCTTTTTATTTCAGAATTCGATTTTGTTTTATAAATTTGTGTCGCATACAACAAATGGCGAAAACCACGACTCAAAATAAGAGTCCCTATAAGGACTCTACTCAAGATGGTTTCTTGTAGAAAGAAAAGTTTTTGATTGATTGCTTATAATAGTGTAGTTTTTTGTTTACTTTATCAAAAAAGTGTAGCAAAATAATAAAATTTACCATTGGGGTGCCCCGGTGTAGCTACTTGTTAAAAGCATTTTGCACAATTGTGTAGCTTGGAACAAACACTTTAATTTGTGCAAGCATCGAACAAGATCCAACCCAGTCAACCAGACAAGTTGCCGAACAGTTCGATCTATCACGGTCTATGGTAGGCAAAATTTTAAGAAAGCATGGGTATCACCCATACAAATTAAAGAGGAGTAATGAGCTATTTCCTGATGATCCATACCGTCGCATGGAATTTTGCGAAACCGTTATAGAAATGGCGAACCGGGATGAAAATTTCACACGAAATATCCTTTTTACCGATGAGTCGTCATTTTTTATACATGGTAGGCATAATTCCATGAACCATCGGTATTGGTCCAGGACGAATCCTCATCAGCATTATGCTGCCAATACTCAACGACCACAAAAATTAAATGTTTGGTGTGGAATTCTGGGAGACCATGTTATAGGTCCATTTTTTTATAGATGGTACCTTAAATGGTCAAAAGTATCTTGAACTGCTGCAAAATGAAATTGTTCCCGCAGTTCGTGCTCTGCCTGTGCCTTTTGAGTCAGTATGGTTTCAACAGGATGGATGTCCCGCACATAATACCCTATTAGTAAGAGAATATTTGCAAGACACTTTTGCAGACCGCATAATAAGTGGTCACGGAAATATTCTCTGGCCAGCAAGATCACCGGACTTGGCTCCGTGCGATTTTTTTATGTGGGGATATGCCAAATCCAAAATGTACGGATTCCAGCATATCAGGGCAAATAACCTTGATGAATTAAGAGAATTAATAATTAATACATTAAGGAATATCAGACCTGAGATGCTGTCAAATGTACGACAAAATTTTTTTTTTAATAGGTTAACCTATTGTACAACAGCGTTTGGGGGCCTATTTGAACATTTACTTTGATTTATTTATTTTTTTATTTAAATATTTTAGAACACCATTTTTGTTTGAACATTTACTTTATTAATTTTTTAATTTAAATATTTTAGCATACCATTTTTGTTTAAACATTTACTTTAATTTATTTATTTAAACATTTTAGAATACCATTTTTGTTTAAGAATATTTGTTTTTTATTACAAGAATACTATGGTTTATTTTCCACATTTTCGAAAAAAATTCAATAAGTATTCGTTTTTGTAAACAAAATCATAGTTAAATTTTAAAGAAAATTTAAAATTCTTCCGTCCGCACTCCAACGTGGACCGAATAATACTGAAGTTATTTCGAGACTCGATCAGAGTTGCCAGATATATTTTCACTGATGTCGCCAGTAGATGGAGAAACGGTCGCCAAAAAATCGCCACTCCCCCCATGAAAAATAAACAAACACAATATTTCCAAAATTTATTTAAAAATTAAACAAAATAAAATTATATAAAAATAAATTATTAAAATTCGACGTTGGGCACTGTTGCCAAATCTGTAAAAATGTTAGAGTGTTTAAGGTTACTACTTAGTACCAATAGATGGCGAGTATGGGTAATATAAATATTATTTTAAAAGAACGCTTGACACGTTCACATTTTTGCAAAATAATATAAATAATAAATATTTTAGCATAAGACTCCATATAAAATCGCCACCAAAATTTAAAAAATCGCCACAATTGTCGCCAGTCGCCCTGTGAAATTTTTGTCGCCATTAAGGAAGGTTGTGTCGCCACTTTGGCGATAAATCGCCACATCTGGTAACACTGGACTCGATTGCGAAATTTGCGTCAAGGTTATCTAGTAGTGGGATTGGAAAGCAGTTAGAGGAGGGGAAGTAAAACATTGGCGGACGTTTAATTGTTTTGATTTATTCGTTTTAAAATCTTGTACTGCACGCTTATGGCAGAGGGGAAATAAGTATTTTGTTCTCCTATTCGTTCAACAATGGTTGTTTGTCTCTCTTATTTATACGTTTATCTCACCTATTCGTATGTTTTATATAGCATGCATCTTTGTTTATTAAACGGCCTAAAAGCCCATTACCATCCCTGTATACGATTTGTCCGATTCTCATTTATAAATATATATTTATCATTTATAATTATAATTAATTAGGTATTAATTATGAAAAAGTAATTAATTTATAATTTCTATGCTTGATAATGATACTGTACTGTACATTTTACCAAACATCGCCGCAATTTATGATTAATGCAAGATAAAAAACCTCAAATATTGGCTAACAGCACCTCTCAGAAAAGCGTTCGTAAACATACGTTTTCAAACATCATGTATGTTCACCAAAAAGCGAATTTTGAAAACGGAATAGCCATTTAAACAACGATGATGTTTATAAACATGAATGTTTAAGAAATTCTTTGAGCGCATGCGTCTATAGACGAAATAATTGAAAGGGAATAGGCACATATGTAGTTCATGAACATGCATGTTTAGCGAAAGGAAATAGGCCTCTTAAACGCCTTCAACTGCATTTTAAAATAGTAAAAGACAAAATATACGAATTTATGGCAACATATTGTTTTAAAAATATGAAACTAGGAATACCTGTTATTTGGTTTTATTCATAATTCAGTTGTCGTTTGCATTTAGACGAATCATTTGTTTTATGATTTTTACCGAATTATAATGATTTAAATTTGTCAAAGTGTGTATTGTATCTAATATTATAGTTACAATTGATATTTTATAGGGACTATACTATTTTAAATATATTTAAACAGTTAAAGGACGAATATAAAAGATTGTTGTAGTTACCCAGCTAGCACGATACATAACGCGAGCTTGCGCGATGTTCTGTTTAGGTCGCATAAATACATCTCATGTAAATGTACCAAGAATGTAACTAACGGTAATTTTAAGTATATTACCTGTCAAGTGATTAAGGGTACCAACAATATAAAAATAAATAAATAAAATAAAAGGCTTAAATAGAGTGAAGTTATAATTTGTTTAAATATTATTAGTGAAAAAAGATTAAAAACAATTGAAATTTCATTTATTAATATCTAGTATTATTGATGGTGATAATAAAAACCATAAATGTAATGTCAATTTTGCATTTATCAAGTTGGAAGCCATTCATTTTAGGTTATCTCATGTTCTATTTCCCGCCAAAGAATACTTTTCTATGCTAGAGCGTTCTTCGCGTTTATCTCTGATGCTAGCTTGGTTTGTTTTGTAGTAGTGTAGAATTGTATATTAAGAACGAAAAAATAAAGCAAAGGTATGTATGGAAAACCTTTAAAAAATTTGTCAGAAAGACAAAGGAGGAATTTGAGACAACATATAAAAAGGGGTGTTTTAATTCTATCAAGTGTTGAATCTCCAATTACAAATACACAGGATGAAATTCCTGGCACTTCTGGTTCTGTATCTAACACTGATTTTACAGATAATATTTTTGAGGTTACTTTACCTGTGAATAGAATTTTTGGTAACATATCCCCAGAAATATCATCTGTGGAATCAGAAGAACAAACACAATGTTTATGTGGTGATTGTGGAGCAAGTATGTCACCAGAACTTGTAAATAATTTAAAAGATTGGAAACTTGAATGTAACATTCCCCTTATACATGTTACTAAATTATTGCAAGTTTTAAAGAGCCACAAGTTAAATGTCCCTGGTGATGCACGAACTCTTTTAAGTACACCACGTAAACTTGAGTTAATGAATTTAATGCCAGGAAATTATTTTCACATGGGTCTAAAAGAGTCTGTATTAAAAGATCTAAATTCATTACCAAAAGATTTAGATATTTCCTTAACTTTAAAATTTAATATTAATGTTGTTGGGTTACCATTGACAAAAAGTTCTGGTAGTCAATTTTGGCCAATTTTGGGTTGGCTAGTACCCAATACATTTAAAGAACTTAGAATTGATCCATTTGTTATTGGAATATATCATGGTTCCACCAAACCGAAATATTCCAATGATTATATAAAGTGGTTTATAAAGGTATATAATGTTTTAAAAGAATCTGGCATAAATTGGGATGGTAAAATAATCAAAATCGAGTTAAATGCAATTATTTGTGATACTCCAGCTAGGGCATCTATAACACAAACAAAAGGTCATACTGGTTACCATGGATGTGGCAAATGTACACAAGAAGGTGATTTCTTTAATAACCGAATGACCTTTAGTCAGTTAGGTTGTACTCTAAGAACCAATTTATCATTTCGAGAAAAA